AACCAACCCAACACATAGCTCTTCCTGGAAGCTTGCTTTCCACATTGAATTTTACTGCTTGGGAACTCCAGCAAACCAGCAAACCATTTCCATTTAAAAAAAAATCAGTTTTTGGTTCTCTGAATTTTGTCTCCAAGCTTCGGCTTCACTGCTTCGCTTTTCTGCTCGGCCTTCTTGAAAATAAGGCACTGTAGTTCAAAGTTCTATCCATCTGCTATGCTTCAACCATCCAACTTTGAGCTGTGGATGTGTATGTGAGAGAGGAAATTTTCAGTCCTTGGTTCCAGCAGGATTAATAACCTGATAAGCTAAGAAAACAGGCATGTTGCAGAGAAAATCATTTGCAATGTCACAGCTGTCAGAATGGACAGCAAGAGATGGGGATGGCATGCCAGACTTCTCTTTTCATACATATACAGAATTGCCAAATCAGAAGTGACTGTAAAAGTTATCAAGTCCAAGCCCCTGCCAATACAGGAAAGTCACACTTTGCATAGAAATACAAGAAAGGGTATAAAAAAATCATTGTAATTCTTCGTTACGCAGAAATAATTAGCTCACTCCTGGATCATTCCTATAATCCTGCCTGATTTTTAAGATCATCCAAGGCCCAACTGGTTCAAGGACAGTCAGGCTGATGGTAGAGGCTGGAAAAGGTACTTTATAAACTGCAGCTTCCAAAATCTCTCAGCCAGCAGGCGTCACCTACAAACCTAGCATGGCCAAATCCTACTATACCATGTTGGTTGGGCCATGCTGTCTGGGAATGAGAGAAGATGGAATCCTGCACAGTTAGAGGGTGCTAGGTTGAAGAAGGCTTCAAAGTCAAGACTTTAGGATTTATTCTTGTTATGTCCCTTCAAGTCAACTCTGAATTAAGACAAACCCAAATCGTAAGAGTTTCTTGGCAAGGTTTATTCAGAGGAAGTTTATCATTGCTTTCCTCTGAGAAAGTGGGTGCATCTACAATGTAGAAGTAATGCAGTTTGACACCACTTTAAGTGCTGTAACACCATCATATGGAATCCTGGGATTTGTAGTTTTACAGGTTCTTGAGCCTTCTCTGCCTAAACATGCTGGTGCTTCACAAAACTACAAGTCCCAGGATTTTGTAGGTTGAAGTCTTGGCAGTTAAAGTGGTGTCAAACTGCATTATTTCTACAATGCAAATGCACCCAGTGTGTGCTACTCAAGGTCACCTAGTGGGTTTCCATATCTGAGCAGGGATTTGAACCATGGTCTCCTGGAGTCCTAGCCCAACACTCAAATCAATAGGCCACACCAGCTCTTGCATGGATTTCTACCACCTCTAAATCTTGTCTAGCTGGATAAACAGAAAGGAGACAAGTTAGATTACATCAACAAAAGCAAAAGCTGTTCCAGATAGACTCTTAGAAATACTGAGTAAGTTCTAAGTTTTCGCATCAATAACAAAATAAATTGCATCCCAGCTCATAAGAATGAAATGTGCATCAAATATAAAATGAGTTTGTAATCCCACATCCCTCACCTATAGCTGCTAAAAGTACAAGACCAAGCAGAGCTGCAAGAGGACATTTCCTCCCATTTATCTCTCTGTCCCCATTTATCCCATAGTGTACATTATGCCATGCAGTACAAATATATTGTTGGATGAGTGGGACTTTGGACAGGAGGTTAGTGGTAACAGTAGGACTGCTCAAAGTATATTAAACTGTGTGGCCTTGTTATTAACTGCCCTCAAATTGTCCCTGACTCATGGAGACCCTGTGGATGAGACATTTCTAAGCCCTCTATTCTCCACTGGTCTGTTTAAGTTTTGTAGATTCATGCCCATGACCTCCCTAATTGAATCCAACCATCTGGCATACAGTATTTCTTCTACCCTCAACCTTTCCTAGCATTATTGCCTTTTCCAGTGAGGCATGCCTTCTCATGATGTGGCCAAAGTAGGACAACCTCCATTTGATCATCTTGGCTTCTAAAGAGAGTTCAGGCTTCACATACTCAAGGATCCACCTGTTTGTCTTTTTGGCTGTCCATGGTATACTAAGCATTCTTCTTCAACACCACATTTCAAATGAGTTGATTTTCTTCTTATCTGCTTTCTTCACTGTCCAGCTCTTCCATCCATACATGGTGATGGGAGGTACGCTTGGATGATTTTAATTTTAGTGTTCAGTTGTATATCTTTACTCTTTATGATCTTGTCTAGTTCCTTCATAGTTGCCCTTCCCATTCCCAGTCTTCTGATTTCCAGACTACAGTCTCCATTCACTTGGCTACATTTCCCCTCTTGGTAGGGAGAGACCTGATGGATTGCACTTACTAGCTGGTTCTTATGAATCAGGTAGGGGCATTGCTTTCTTCCTGTCCAGCTAAGGATGTTGGTGGGCCTTGGATGAGAGAAATGAAAAAAGGGAGTGGCACTGATGCTTGGGGACTTTGCAAACAAACAGTATATACAGATTAAAGTGCCTCCCCTGAGATATGATGTATGGCAATCGGCAGGGGTAGGCAAACTGTCTCCTTTAAGGGCCAAGGGACTTCATCTCCCAGAAGCCTCAGCCATGTTGGCCAATAGTCTGGGATGTTGGCTAATAGTCTGGGATTCTGGGAGCTGAATTCCCTAGGCCCTTAAAGGGGACAGTTTGACAGTTCCCCCAATGCTCAACTGAAACATTTAGAAATTCAGATATTGCAAAATACATTAAGGGCCTCTGCAGACCAGCCCAAAGGGCTGACCTGGAGGCAGAGTTGGGGTGGAGCAGCCACACGCCCCTGCCCCAACCCCACGCTGACACCTCCCTGACACCACGTGCCTTTATGCACAGCACGCAGCATCAGGACGCCCTTCCAGCACAGCGTTCAAACACACTGTGCTGGAAAGGGCACAGAAGTGCTGCACATCAGCTCTTAGGGAGGCCTTTTGCTGCCCCTAAAAGGAGCAGCATTTTGCTGCTCTTTTAGGAGCAGCAAAAGGAAAGATCGGGGCCGCAGTGTGGGGTTGTGGGACCCAAAGTTCTGAATGCCATAGTAGCTGGTGGCTTACATGTCGAGTGGTGAATCTATCCTAATTTTTGGCTGCATTTGCATGTAGAATCATAGAATCACAGAGTTGGAAGAGACCACAAGGGCCATCAGTCCAACACCCTGCCATGCAGGAAATCACAATCAAAGCATCCCTGACAGATGGCCATCTAGCCTCTGTTTAAAGATCTTCAAGAAAGGAGACTCTATCATACTCCAAGGGAGTGTGTTCCACTGTCAAACAGCTCTTACTGACAGGAAGTTCCTCCTTATGGTGAGGTGGAATCTCTTTTTCTGCAGCTTGCATCCAATGTTCCGTGTTTTAGTTTCTGGAGCAGCAGAAGACAAACTTGCTTCATCCTCCATATGACACCCCTTCAAATACTTAAACAGGGCTATCATATCACCTCTGAGCAGGTTGTGAGTGAGTGGCTGAAGTACAGGCATTTAACCACTATGACACCAGGGCTCCTCAAATTAAGCCTTAAAACAGGGGTAGGCAACCTTTCCCCTTTAAGGGCCGAGGGACTTCAGCTCCCAGAAGCCTCAGCCATGTTGGCCAATAGTCCCATGTTGGCTAATAGCTCCTGGGATTCTGGGAGCTGAAGTCCCTTGGCCCTTAAAGGGGAAAGGTTGCCTACCCCTGCCTTAAAATTTAGCTCAGTTGTCATCCATCCCGGTTTCTTGAGACATCTCCCATTTTTCCTCCTCATTGAAACAGTTTGAGATTGTGCCTTCAGTATCACCCTTTTGAGAAACTCCCATGCATCCTGAACGCCTTTCTCTTTTACTATTCCTGACCACAGGATCACCCCCAGTATCTCCCTATGTTTACTGAAATCAACTCTCCTAAAGTCTGGAATGCTTGTCTGACTGTGCCTGGCTTCTCTTTTCCACTGTATAACAAACTCCAAGAGAACATGATCTTCTGTCCAGAGTCATAGCCCAACACTCAAACCACTACACCAGGCTGTTTCCTCCAGGGTTCCTCTACATTTTATGATTGTACAAAAGAGGGGATGTCAGCAGGTGTTGCTTGTTGCCTGGTTGTGTGACATACAATTCCTGATGAAATCTCTTTTACACAGCCATTAAAGATATAGGAGCCATCTCCAGTTTTCAGTCTGGCAACCCTAGTGCATTCAGCAAAATGACTCCAAGCTAAATTCCTTCACATCCGTAATGCTGATCACTACCATGTGCAGAATTCAGGATGGTGCTCTTGGCATCTGCAGCCTAGAGAATCCGATGCAGGTCAAGAACAGCTGGAAGGGCATCTTGTATTTATCAGAGCATGCCTTTTTTATTTTTGTTTTTGGAAGCATTTAACAAGGAGGGGGGGAGGAAACCTAGACATTTCCAGACAAAGGTTTGGCTGGTTATTTCAAATCGATATGGAGCGGTTGGCCTTCCGTACCCCTGCACATCCCAGCCAGAAATGCCACTTCCTTCCTCCTGTTCTGTTCCTCTTGCCAGATTCTCAGTTTGGCACTGTCAACTCTTTTTGATTTTCTCTCAAAACTCAGGTGGGCAGGAGGGAGGAAGCAAAGCTTCCAAGTCTGAACTTGGGACAATGTTTGCAGTCTTCTATGATGCTTTATTGCACTCCCATGAACTCCAGGACTGTAGTTACCTGTGACGGTAATTCCTTTTTGCACTAAGACAAGGGTGGACATGCCAAGCATGGAAATACAAGTGGTGATATGTCTCTAGACTACACCACTTTAATATCCCTGGTTCCATCCTATGGAATCCTGAAATGTGGAATTTGGTCAGGTATGTAGAATTCTTTCTTCTAGAAATGTCTCTTCCACTCCTCCAAACTGCAGCTCTAGAACTCTCTAATGGAGAGAATTCTAATTCCCTCACCAAACAACAAAACCTAGGATTCCCTAGGATGGAGCCATGGTAATTAAAGTATTATCAAGCTGCTATAATTGTGCTTTATACAGTTGTAGTGTGTCAAGCAAAAGCTTCACTCATTTTACTGTGTGTCCATGGTGTAATGGTTTGAGGGTCAGACTATGACTCTGAAGACCAGGGTTCAAATCCTCACTGAGACATGGAAACCCACTAGATGACTATAGGCAAGTCACACTGTCTCACCCTTGGAGGAAGGCAAAGGCAAATCTCTTCTGAATAAACTTGCGAATAAACTAGGGTCTCCATAAGGTAGAAACAACTTGAAACCATACAACAACAAACATCTTTCAGTTATTGTCATAGTTGTACAGTGAGGGGATGGTCTATCCTTATCCCTTAAGTCTGTTGGGTATACTAGCTCTGTGGCTCAGAGTATTCTGGTGCTTCTGTTAAAAGTCAAACTCTTTCCTCACATATTGATGAATGGTTGCTGAAAATCAGTGATATGCAAGAAATGGACAGGCTGACACACATGATGAAAAGCAGATCAGGGAATAAAGTTGAGAAGGATTGGCAACCCATATCAGAGTAGTGGGAAAGAACCTGGGAAATAAAGAGGTCTCTCCTCCAACACTTGCGAACAATCCTGACATTTGTTAAACTCAAGACTTTACAAAATACAAAAAAAAAAATAAGGCAAAAGAAAGACAAACACTGATAGGAGAAAAAGAATGTAAACAAACTAGAGAAATGAAACCAGTAACAAGATGTCTTATGTAAGTAAAGGAGGCACAGAAATTAATTTAGATTTCTATTCTGTGTACTAGGTATAATAGGTATATATAGATATACAAGTATATATAGATATACAAGTAAATATGCATAAATATAGGTTAATGCAGAAAACAATATACAAGTCAAACATAGAGTGAAAGAAACACAGAATGCAAAACAGAATGTAAAACAGAGGATAAAGCAGCTATGACATTATATATTATGTAGCATGATGAATAGAATGGAAGTGGAGACCGAAATGTTGTAAACTGAATTATGTGATTACTTTGAGCATTCATACTTGTAATATATATTCCTTCTTTTTACTTACTGTAATAAAAATATTATTTTTTTAAAAAGTTAAACTCTTTTGTTTTCTTTTGAGTAACAAGATTATTGACCAACTATGAAATAATCAGACCATACACAGTATTTAGGGTTAAACAAGGACCATCATTATTGGCCTAAAACCTGGTTAAATGTTTGAGGCCTGGGGCTGAGCAAACAAAAGGGGAGGAACATGGTGCAGATTTAGCTAAGGCAAAGATGTTAACCTATGACACCTCCTCAGCCACCCTTGGGTGAAACACCAGACCCCCCAAGGGCAATGCAAAGAAATTGGTGGCTATCTCGAATGGTCATTTTATCAGGCCAACCTGGAGGATTGCCTCCCAAGTCCTGTGACTTTGTAAGAGAGGTTTAGTCCTCAGATCAGCCCAAGGGCAAACTATTTCCCATGTCTCCTGGCCTTGTGTCCTGTGGAGACAGTTCCAGAGCCCAACCATCCACTACAAAGGGTTGCCAAGGTGTACACCAACTACCTCCCACAGACAAAAGAAGACATCTGCTTAGTCCCTTTTTCCCACCAGGCCTGCCAAAGCAGTGCTCACCCCCTTTGCAATCCCCCACCCAAGATGGTTGAATTACTTTTTTCTGATAAATGGATACTGTATACTCTGTAGAGCTCGGTCCATTGGGAAAGTATGTCTGAATGTGAGAGAAACTGACCCAAACCCCTCCCCATGGAGTTCCGGATTTCCCTGTTCACCCATCTGCAGACTAGGTCCAACTGTCCAGGGTCCCCTTCACCCCGTTAAACTTGGCTTGGCAAAATGGCTGAGCAAATAATGGACACCCCAGGCCATGTGTCCTTTATGGGTCAGAAAGCATTCAGGACTTGACAGATTAGGAATGAATGGGACTGCAAGGGTCATTGAATATGTCCAGACTTGAACCTCCTCCCCTGCATGTATATTCTATATACCAAAACTAAATATCAGCAATTGTACCATTGTACCATCATACAAGACAGGCAGCATGGTGTAATGATTTCAGTGTTGGACTATGACTTTAGAGATCAGGATTCAATTCCCCATCAAACCATGGAAACCCACCTTGGGCAAATCAAACACTCTCAGCCCCAGATAACTCTGTGATAAGTTCACCTTGCCATACATTGGAAACAACTTGAAGGCAAACAACATATGGAGGATGGAGCAAGTTTATTTTCTGCTGCTCCTGAAACTAGGACATGGAGCAATGGATTGAAAATACAGGAAAAGAAATTCCACCTAAACATTAGGAACTGAAAGAACTTCCTGGTGATAAGAGCCATTCAACAGAGAAAGACAGTGCCTTGGATAGTGGTGGTGTCTCCTTCTTTGGAGATTTTTAAACAGAGGTTGGATAGCCATCTCTTGGAGGTGCTTTGATTGTGTATTCCTGTATGGCAGGAGTTTGGACTGGATGGCCCTTCTGATCTCTTCCAACTCTATGATTCTATGATACTAACAATAACAAACCATTATAGAAATCCACTTAAAAATGTAAGTCACGATAGCCAAATTACATCTCTAGGATGGAGACACACTGAGCTCATAGACTGGTGCCTATGCCTACCTCTAGAGTTTGGAAAAGTTCCTTTCTGTGAGTTGTAGTTCAAAAAGTTACTTTTCTGAGTTCTGCACTAAGCTCAGATGATCAGCTTTTGCACAGAAGTGTAAACATATTGCCTATGACAGAACCACATAGTCATTGCTAATTCTTCCAAATGCTGAAGGTCTCCATCAGATCAAAACCCCATCTTTTATCCTCTGGTGAGCTAACCTGACACCATTTTCTCCTCTTTTTTTTCAATGACTTCACACTCCAGATAAAATACACGATCGACACATGATCTCCTGCTATATGATCCCCTTGGCAGCAAAGCTGTGACCAGTGCTGCTGTTAATGTTTCTTTACACTACTGAGGAGTCCACCATGACTAATTAATTAACATGGAAAGTGTCCCTCAATTACTGTTCCACTGGATACTTAAATAAGATAACCATTTATAATGGAAAGCAAAGTGCAGAATAAGGATGGCTTTCGAGACATATACTTCTTTCCTCTTCCTACAAGCAACAAACAAATAAATAGCTTTTCAAAGGGAACACAATTCCATCTTGTAATTTTGGAATACTCAGATATAGTAATTCTTATTATCCTTTGTTTAAAGTGAATTCAATTGAAGCCAGATTAAGATGGATCTCTTCCTGCAGGCTTTTCCTGACTGACTTCCCAGCCTTAGAAACTCCCTCATTCTGCCTCCTTCCTCCTTGGATGTAGCTGCTTCTTTGCTTGCTTAATTCATAATTGTTTGGTAATTTGTTAGTAGATTTATAATTTATTTATATTGTTTAATTACGATGTTTTAAGATATGCTTAGTTTAATTATTTTTTTAAGGAGAGGGTGGGACAAGGGTTGTATTTTACATATTGTATGGAATTTTAACTGTTGTTAGCTGCCCCAATTGTTGACAGAGGGGTGGGGTATAAATAATTTTTTTATTATTATCATTATTATTATTATTATTTGAATGGTTTGAAAGTTAGGTGGAATTTTGTCAATTAATTTTATTTGTATGCTGCTCTAAGAGCCTATGATAAAATATTTTAATCAATCATTTAAATTATAGAATCGTAGAGTTGGAAAAGGCCACAAGGATCATCCAGTCCAACCCTTACCATGCAGCTCACAATGAAAGCTCCCCCAACAGATGGCATCCATCCTCTGTTTCAAAACCTTCAAAGAAGGAGACTTCACCATACCATGAGGCAGCATATTCTACTGTCAAATAATAATAATAATAATTTTTATTTATATCCCGCCCCTCTGCTAGGCAATCGGAGTGGCGTACATCATTTCAAAACATCAGAACAAATAAGTCAATTCAAATCTCATCAAACAGCTCTTACTGTCAGGAAGTTCTTCCTATTGTTGAGGTGGAATCTCTTTCCCTGACACTTGAATCCATTCTTTTGTGTCCTAGTCTCTGGAGCAGCAAAAAAACAAGCTTGCTCCATCCCCAATATGACATCTCTTCAAATATTTAAACATGGCTATCATATCAATTCTTAACCTTCTCTTCTCCAGGTTAAACATGCCCAGCTCCCTAAGCTGCTCCTCATAGAACATGGTTTCCAGACTTTTCACCATTTTGATTGCCCTCCTCTGGACATGCTCCAGCTTCTCAATATCCTTTTTGAATTGTGGTGTCCAGAACTGGATGCAGTATTCCAGGTGAGGTCTAACTGAAGCAGTATAAAATAGCACTATTACTTCCCTTAATCTAGACATTATACTTCTATTGATGCAGCCTAGAATTGCATTGACTGTTTTAGTTGCTGCATCACACTACTGACTCACATTCAACTTCTGGTCTACTAAGACTTCTAGATTCCTTTTGTATAAATAGTAATAAATCATTGTTATTTATAATATCTCATGTACATCTGAAATATTATTTATTTTGATTGGAATTGAGCATGGAGCTTACATATTTGGACTTAGATGTGCAGGAAATATAACTGTCATTTTGCAACTCCTGTATTCAGCTAGAGGCTGCTGAGATATCATAATGTTCATTGCACAATGGTAGCCAGTAAAATGACTGGTGTATCTGAATGCTCTTGCCAGTGTTTGGATGTGCATATTCTCAATTCACTAGCAGGGTTGTGTTGCATTTCTGCAACATAGCTATGGATTCAAAATAACATGGAAAGAGCAGGGATAGGATCATGCAGTTCAGCATGTTTCAATAAAAAAATTTTTTTCAAAACTAACAACATGTATACATGAAATGAAACAACCAGATCAGGTAATCTTTGCATATGTATGGACGTTATCACACAGGGGAAATCTGCTGGTTAATCC